GAAAAGCACATAACGCGGGATATGGCCAAGCTGTTTTTACCTGAAATCACCACCAGAGGGAGTTTCTGCATTTGTGCCACTTGGGCTTCCATCACCACTGTCCGCTCGCTGCTGTGCCAATCTGCACGCCGCAAAAGCAAGTCAGCTATCAACCTGTGGGTTCTAACTCAAACGGAGTATGGGGCCCCACCCCCCGCAAGCAGGATAGGGGCAGTCAACTAAAATGCTGCAAGGTAGAAGTGCTTGAATCCTCCACTGCCTCCATTGACAGGGAAAACCCATAAAACAGCTCTGACAAGAGCTCCTTCTCTCTCCAGGCCACTTAAGGGGTGGAGGAAAGGCTAAATTAAACGTCCAGAAGAGTCAAGGAAATTTACTCTTAAAAACAGACTTTACAGGGAATTCCCTGGCGGTCCACTGGTTAGGACTCGTAACTTTCACTGCTGAGGGCCTGGGTTCAATCCCTGGTCGGGGAAATAAGATCCCCCAAGCCACGCACTGCGGCCAAAACAAAAACAAAAACAGACTTCACAGGGCCAGAAGAACCCCAGGAAGTCTGCTGGGGCAGAGGGAAAAGAGGCAGCAAGGACAGAGGGTAACTAGAAGGTGGGCGTGGGGGTAGGGATGGCGGGTTGGGGATGGAGGAAAGTGGGGAGACAATGACAGGAAGGACAGGGGATGGGAATTGACATTATTGGGCGTGTGTGGCACTGCGCTAAACAAAAGGCAGGGGCGACAGGAAGGGGCTGGAATATGTTAAGGACAGAGCGCACAGGCATGGGAGGGCCAGGCACAAAAGTCCAGGATGGGGGCCCGGAAGTACCGCGTAAGGCGAGGAGGGCCCTGAGGGCCAGAGACCTTGGCTGGGAGGGGAGAAGACGGCGTTTGAGAGCCGCCAGGCTGCGGGACCTGGGGTGGGCTGCGGGGCCGGGCGGCGGGGCCGAGCGGTCGGGCCGGGGCGGGGCCACAAGGGCGGTCGGGCGCTGCACCTGCTTCCGCGGTAGCTGTAGAGACAGTAGTAGCTGCTGGGCGGCGGCTCGAGTCTCCGCTCCTCAGCGGAGCCACCCTCCTCGCTGCTCTCTAGCTCCTTTTCATCCCCATCCAGCGATTCCTGCAAGGAGGGGAGCATCGCGGCGGCCACTGAATGGCCCTGTGTCCCCGCCAAACCGCTCCCCCGCTGCCGTACAGTCCTCGGTGGCCCGGCTCCTCCGGCTCCCGGCCCTCGCGTATCTGCGTTCCGCCGGTTTCCCGGGCTCTCAGGCGAGGAAGCTGGACCGCCCCCTGATTTTCATGTCTTCTCTCACATCATTCAGGTCTCTGCAGAAACGTCACTTCCTCAGAGAGAACTTGACTGCCCTATGCAAAACACATCCCACACGCACCTCTACTGATGTCCCATCAGTCTCTGTCCTGTCCCCTTATATTTACTTCTTCTTCATCGCACTTGCCCCCACCTTATGTATTTGTTTACTATGTCTCTCCCAGTAGAATGTCAGCTTGTTCATTGCTATATCCTCTGTCCTAGCCCACGGCCTACGGTGCTCAAGAACTGTTTGCTGAATTCGTTTTAAGATTTTGTAACGCCTAGGCATGTTTTTCTTCCACGTTTCACCCTATCACTATATCAAAGATATTAAAGTACACCTACATCCCATGTTAACTTTATATAGAAAAATAATAGCTAACATGTACGGAGCAGTTTCTGTGTGTGAGGACCCTTCTAAGTGCTTTACAAATACTTACTCATTTAATTCTCACAACTCCATGAGGTAAATATTATCCCATTTGACAGATGAGTAAACCAAGGCCAGTATTACTTAACTTGTCCATGGTAAAATAGCCAATAAGTGGCAGAGTGGCATTCAAACCCACTCTGGCTCTAGAACTCTTTTTTTTTTTTTAATTTATTTATTTTTGGCTGCCTTGGGTCTTCATTGCTGCCCGCAGGCTTTCTCCAGTTGCGGCGAGTGGTGCGCGGGCTTCTCATTGCACTGTCTTCTCTTGTTGCAGAGCGCAGGTTCTCGGCGCGTGGGCTTCAGTAGTTGTGGCTCGTGGGCTCAAGAGCACAGGCTCAGTAGTTGTGGCGCACGGGCTTAGTTGCTCCATGGCATGTGGGATCTTCCCGGACCAGGGATCGAACCCGTGTCCCCTGCATTGGCAGGCGGATTCTTAACTACTGCTCCACCAGGCAAGTCCCTCTAGAACTCTTAATACTGCAAAATTGAATTGAGGATGACTTGTTGACCTAAAATTATTGGACAATTAATCTCAGGGTTGCTTTGTTTTTTTTTTTTTTCACTTCTTTAGATCTTTAATTTCTTACAATATTTTGGTTTTCCAGAATATAGTTCAGAACTTTTGTTAAATTTATTCCTAATTTTTATGCTTTTTGATGCTATTGTAACCAGAATTGTTTTCTTAATTTTATTTTCAGATTGCTTGTTGCTAGTGTATAGAAGTACAATTGGGGCTTCCCTGGTGGCGCAGTGGTTGAGAGTCCGCCTGCCGATGCAGGGGACACGGGTTCGTGCCCCGGTCCGGGAAGATCTCACATGCCGCAGAGTGGCTGGGCCCGTGAGCCATGGCCGCTGAGCCTGCGCGTCCGGAGCCTGTGCTCCGCGATGGGAGAGGCCACAACAGTGAGAGGCCCGCATACCGCAAAAAAAAAAAAAAAAAAGAAGAAGTACAATTGATTTTTGTATATTGATCTTGTACTGTGAACTTTGTTGAACTCTTATTAGCTCTAGATTTTTAAAACATGTATTCCTTAGAATTTTCTACAAACAAGCGTATTAGTTTTCCAGGGTTCCCATTAACAAAGTACCACAGACTGAGTGGTTTAAACACACACACACAATTTTTTTTTTTGGCTGTGCGGCTTGCAGGACTGAACCTTGGGGTCCCAGCAGTGAAAGTGCTGAGTACTAACCACTGCACCCTAAACAACAAAACTTATTGTCCCACAGTTCTAGAGGTTAGAAGTCCAAAGTCAAGGTGAAAACAGCGTTGGTTCCTTCTGAGGGCTATGGGGAAAAGTCTGTTCCAGGTTTTTCTCCTTGATTTATAGTGGTCTCCTTCCTATCTCTTTATAGTGTTTTCTTCTGTACCTATCTCTGCAACCAAATTTCCTCTTCTTGTAAGGACACCAGTCACCAGTGTCCACCCCAATGACCTCACCTTAGCATTATTACCTCTGTAAAGACTCTACTTCCAAATAAGGTCACATTATGAGGTACTGGGGGGTAGGATTTCAACACATTACTTTTTCTTTGCGGGCTTTTTCTTTTATTCACATACTCATGCCATCTCTGAATAGAAATGGTTTTACTTGTTCCATTCCAATCTGGATTCCTTTTACTTCTTTTTCTTGCCTAATCACCCTGGCTGGACCTGCAGTACAATGTTGAATAAGAGTGGCAAGAGTGGACGTCCTGATATTGTTCCATCACCTTCTTTCTTCATTTTTGTTTTTGGTAGAGCACTGAGCACCATCTAAAATTATCTTATTTTTTATTTTAGGAAGAATGAATAAATGCTTTTCTCTATATAACCACTCCCTGCTTCAGACCAATTTCATCTCTTATCCAGATTACCGTCACATTCTCTATGACTTGCCTTTCAGCCTCCACCAATCCACTGTTCCCACTGGAGGCAAAACGATTTTTTCTAAAACTCAAATCTAATTCAGCTTCATACTTACTAACCCTGTGACTTTGTGTCACTTACTTCAACTCCCCGCCCCCCCTTTTTTCGGCTGCTCCCCCCGCAACTTGTGGGGTCTTAGTTCCCCCATCAGGGGTCGACCCTCGGCAGTGCAAGTGAGGAGTCCTAACCACTGGAGCACCAGGGAATTCCCTGCTTCAACTCCCCTATGCCTCTTTTTCTTCATCTATGTTAACCGGGTGATAACAATGGCACCTCCATCACAGGTTTGTTGAGACAAGTAATGTAAAACCACCTTGTCTGGCGCACGATAAGCGCTCCATGGATATCTACTATTACTTTTTCCTTTTAATAGTAACATCTAATTTACATTACTGGTTATTTCTCTATGCCAAAGAGAAGGGCAGACAGAGGAAGTTTAAGTGGCTTGCCCAAAGCCATGCAAATAGGCAGTGGCACTGGTGGAAAATGAACCCAAGCACTGGACTCTTAACCAGCTATACTCTTATTTGCGTTTTTCTCTAACTGCGCTCTTAAAATTCTTCTGTTGCTTCCCAGAGACTTCAGCATAAAATCCAGCTCCTCAGGCTGCTGGAGAATCTCCGGAAGTCGCCTTTGCCAGCCTCCCTAGGATTATCTCTTGCCATCAGCCCCTTCACTACGAGCTTCAACCCTACTATCTCTAGTGTTTTTTCAGGTGCTCAGGCTCAAAGACGTGCACTTTTTGCGCCCTTAGTGAGATACCCTCTCCTCCACCTCGTTTGCTCCCATTGACCCTGCAGGAAACCTTCCTCGATACCCCAATGACCGCCAAGGCCCTGTAAACGGTTCCTCTCCTCTGAGGTTCCGCAGCACCTCGAATTTCCGTCACCGCGGTGGTCACGCTGCGTCGTTTACGCATCCGTCACCGATATGTGAATTACAAGGCAAAGTCGGCGACTTCTTCGACTTAGTAGGCAAACGTCCGACAGTTACTACAGAAAGGAGTAATCCGGGAAATGAAACAAAAGAAAAATTGGGCGCTGTCTCAATTATCCTTTATTTGTAGTTTACCTTGAATTACTCTGGTAACCTATTGAGGTTGGTTTTTTTTTTTTTCTCCAATTCGCGCTGTCTCGGCGCACCTACGTATCACCGGCTCTTTTATAAACAAAGTAAACCCAGAGTAATTCGCACGCACGGGAGAACCCGGACCTGACACACGGACAAGATGGCAGCCGGCCCTCCGCTGGCGCGAGTGTCCGCCCACTCAGGGCGTAGGCCTCGTCATGTGACCCTCCCCTGCCTGGCACCGCCCCCGGCCGCAGTGCCTGACGGGAGGCAGAGCAGCGAGCGAGGGCGTCGGCCATTTTGTGGCTGTTTCCTGTGGGACACAGAGGTGGCGGTTGGGTCGGAAGAGTGAGAGACTGTTTGGCTAGTTTTTCCTGCTTGTTTTCTCCTTTTTTTTTCTGTCGGTAGAGCGCAGTTATGGGTCGCAAGAAGAAGAAGCAGCTGAAGCCGTGGTGCTGGTATCCTTTGTCGGTTTGAAGTCGAGGCCGAGCGGGGGCGCCGGTTGGTGGTGACCGGGACGGGGAGGCCTGGCTTTGGCCTATGGCGGAGAGTGGGATTTAGGCCTCGGGGTCGGTAGTTTGGTGGCTGGGCTCAGATTTGGGAAGGTTTCTCGGAAAATGGGGTCCCTGGGGCGAGAAGCTCTGTCAGTTGTGGGTCGTGGGACTCCGTGACTCAGGAGGGTCTTGGTTTGGTGCGAGCGTTGACCCGCGGGGAGGCGGCTTGGACCCCCTTCACCAAGGACAGAGTCCCCTGAGGAATCTTCTGCCACACTCCGTTGTTTTGGTGACGGTTCAACAAAGGGACATGAGCTTCGAGTATAGTACGCTTATTGACTCTGTGGCGGATCAGGGGGGAGCTTCCGGAGTCGGTCACCCACTCTTTTCTTTTTTCTTTTTTTTTTTTTTTTTGTAGAATCGGTTTAGTAAAGGCTTATGTTAGTCAACCCTGATTTCGACGCCCCCCACCCCCCCTTTTTTTTTTTTTGCTGGGGGGGTTGGGGGGAAGATCTAGCTTCCGCCTCCCACCCACTGACGCCTTAATCTTGGAGAAGCGTTCTCTTACAGGGTGGGGTTTCTTGTTATCTTTTTACCTGTTTTATTGGAGTGAGAAAGTGGCTCTTAATAAGGAAACGTGGCGTCGGTTCCCCCCCCCCCGAAACGTTAGTAAACTTTACGTTTTAGTTGGTTTTATTTACTGTCTGGTACCTAAAACGCTGCATTTATTTATATAATAGTTGAAAACTGGTTACAGGTTTTGTAAAGTGCTTTTAGGAAAATCTGACAAGGGAGAGAAGAATTCTCAGTATTATTGACAGAACTTATCTGTGAGTTTATATACATTTTTGGGCGACAAATTCGTACGGAATTGCAAGCAGCTTTGTGGATTGTTCATAGGAAATTGTCGCAATGAACTTATTTTCAGATTCTAAATAATATAAACATTAAATTTTAAATGTTAGGTAAATTCTTAGTATTTTGATTATTTTTATCTTCTAATTTTTGAAGTTCTGTCCACATTAACTTCGGGTTTGTTTTTTTTTTTTAAACATTTTGAACCCTTCCAGTCACAGTGTGCATTTGTAAATGTTGAGACATCGAACAAAAGAAAAGTTAATTTAACATAAATCTGTGTGAAACGCGGGAATTTGACAAAACTATATTGCCTACTGAGATGTGTTTATTTAGGGGTGGTGAAGAGATAATGTGAGATTGTGAGCTTCCAGGACATTGAAAATTCCAAAATTATGTGGTAGGTTAATCCTTAGTTATATAATAAATATCAAAAGTAGACTTTATATAAAGTACTCTTGGTTTTAGCTGTTGCTTTTTTTTAATGTTATTACTATTCTCTTTCATTACAGATTTATTTTTTATAGGCAGTGTCACTGTTGTGCTATTTTTGTACCTTAACAATAGTGATCAGGTATTGTAATAGAGATTTTGATGATGAGAAGATCCTTATACAGCACCAAAAAGCAAAGCATTTTAAATGTCATATATGTCATAAGAAATTGTATACAGGACCTGGCTTAGCTATTCATTGCATGCAGGTAAGGAGTTTCTTCTGTATTTAATTTTTGCTCTCTTGGAGTTTGGAAACAACATGAAAAAATCTTAAATTTCTCTTTGATAGCTGTAGAGGTTTTTTTTTGTTGTTGTTTATTGCAAAAGATTAGATAAGATGACCAGTCAGCTTTAAAATAAAAAAAAAACCTGTTCTTTAGCCATTGAGAAGATAAACAATTGATTTTTCATGTTTAAAGAGTTTATGCTACTATTTACCTTTAAATTATTGATAATACCTTTTATCCTAGATTTAGATGGGTGACAATTAGGTTAAGATCACGAAGTATTTCGTCAGTACTTGGCTGAGAGAACAAGGATCAGTGATTTAAATTTTGTGGGCAGTCTGACCAAATCCAATCCCATAAGAATTAGTACATAATTAAGCACCATTACTCACTGTCTTTGAACGATTTGTTAAAATCTGTTGCCTGGGGCTAAGCTATGATTTATTCCATGGACCTCTTTTGGAATGGTGGCGTGGTGTTTCACTTAATATTTTCTAGGTTTCTTGAGTTCTTTCACTACTAGGTGGGGAGGGCTTTGTAATTTATATTTTTGAAGATCTAATAAGTACCTTTTTTATTCAACATTATTTCTTCTACTTTTGCCAGTCCTAGAGCTGCCTGAATTTTTGCCTAATTGGACCCTAGAGAGATGTGAGATGAGCAAATCCCCATTCATTGGAAACTATTGTTGGTAGGAGGCAGGGAGGTAAATTAAAACAAGATATTGCTTTCCTGAGTTTAAAAATAAGTTTATAAAGATCTGTTTCACTCCAATTATGTCGCTATAATAGCAATTCAGTATCCATTTAAAAATATGAGACCCACAATTTTCCACTGTGGTAGTCACTAGTTACTTGTGGCTATTTAAACAGAAATTTAAAAATTAAAACTTCAGTTCCTCAGTCACATTATAGTCACATTTCCTGTGCTCAGCCACAAGTGACTGGGGATGACTTTTGTATTGGATAGTACAGATGCAGAACATTACCATTTATCACAAAGTTTCTGTGAGACAGTACAGTGTTTTAGGCACTGAATATACAGCAGTGAATAAATTAAAGTCATCATTGTGGAGTTTAGATTTACATTGTGGAGGAGAACAATCTATAAATATTTAATTTTATGCTGATATGTGACAGAGAAAACTAAAACTAGGTAGGGGTTAAAACTAGGTAGGGGGGATAGGGGAGGGCCACAAGGTAGTACAGGCCTGAATGAGAAACTGACATCTGAACAGAGATCTGAAAGGAGGTGAGGGAGAGATTCCAGGGAACAGCAGATGAAAGACCTTCACGTCAGGAACATTCTCCTCTATTGAGGGCAAGGACAGCAATGTGCTACTTTACATAGGAGGGTTTGCAGGTTATTGTAGGCCATTTTCTTTAATACTGAGTGAAATGGGAGGTTTTAATTGAGATGTAACATGCTTTGGCACACTTTTTAAAGAGTCATTTTGGCTGCAGGGTTGAGAGTAGACTGTAGAGTGCAGTAAGACCACTTAGGAGACCAGGCAAGAGTGTTCCAGGCAAGAGGTGATGGTGACAGAGAATTTGCTGATGAATTAGATGTGGAGTATGAGAAAGTGAGGAGTGGAGGATGTTCTGAAAGTTTTTGGCCTGAGCAGTGTGAAAAGTGAGTTACTGTATTCATTTGGCCCTTGGTATCCACATCTGCGTATTATACCGCAGTTGAACTTCGGTGAGTTGAATCCACGTGTACAGAATGCGTGGATACAGAGGGCTAACTGTACTGCGCCATTTTATATAAGGGACTTGAGCATCCTTGGTATTGGGGGGAGTGGTCCTGGAACCAGTCATGCCTTGATATCAAGGGACGACTGTACTGAAATGTGGAAAGCTTGCAGGAAAAATAGGCTTAGGGATGAGGCTATCAAGATCATCTTATGTTAATTTTGAGTGTGGGTATGTTAGTTTTGAGATTTTGAGGAGGTCTGTTGAATATCCAGATGGAGATGTCATATAAGCAGTTGAATCTACAGGTCTGCAGTTCAGAGAGGTTGGAGCTGGTGATAGAAATTTGGGGGGATACAGTATAAGGATGGCTATTTTAAGCCATGATATTATATGTCCTTAGGGAGTAGAATATAGATAGAAAAGTGGTGCCAACGACACCACCTTGGGCCACTCCTAGCATTTAGAGGTCAGAAGATTAAAAGAAACCAATCAAGATTGAAAAGGTAGGAAAACCAAGAGAGTAGTGCCGTGGAAGCCAAATGAAGTGTTTCAAGGAGTGAGTTATTTATTTAAGTCAAACACTGGTGGTAGGTTAGTTAAGCCCAGGACTAAGATTGGATTAATCAAACTAGAGGTCATTGGTTACTTGCCAGAGTGATTTCCTAGAATGTAGAGGATGAAAGGCTGATAGGAATGCTTGCAAGAGAAAATGAGAGGGGAAAGTAGAGGTGCTATTTCAAGGAGTTGCACTATAGGGAAGAGCAGAGAAATGGAGTGAGTGGAAACTGGAAGATTAGTTAAGAAACTATTAGTAATAATCTTTAATTGACTAAGTGCTTCTATTTATATGTTCTTAGCATAATTTCACAGGAGCTTGTGAGATAGGCATGGCAGTTAAATCAGACTAAATCAGACACATGCTGGAGTTTTATAGATTAGTTTAGGACATTAGTAATTTAGATACTTTACATCAATGTTTGCGCCTATCTTTTCAGCCGAGACCATACTAATTTCTACTATGTAAGACTCTTAGAAATCTAATTCTGGCTGTAACATAAGGTTGGGAAGATTTTGAGTGAATGGCGTTATTTTTTCTTCTCTTTCCAATACCTTTTAATTAAGATATTTCTTTCTTTCATCACTTAGAAATGTAGTGAAAACTAGTTAATGTGTATGTGAATGTAATTGTATTTTTTCAGAGAACGTATATATGAGTTACTTCATCTGCCTTCATCAAGAGAAGTAACATGTTCCAAAAAATTTAGGAAATGGTGATTGTCATTTATTGAGTAGCTTTATTCATGGATCTTTTAATCACAATAAGATAATTTGTGAATTTGATTTGCATATCACTTTTTAAAATCTTTGAGATACTCCTCCAGGAAAATACTTAGTTTTCTTTAATTACCTTTCTATTCTTCCATGAAAGTGTCTTGGAAGGAAAGAAAAATTGAGTATTACTTGGACCAATATATCCAAGTCATTAACCTAAATAAGTGGTTCTCAAACTTGAGTATGCAAAGGAATCACCTTGAAGTCTTGTTAGATAGATTTGCAGTTCCACCCGAGAGTTTCTGATTCAGTAGGGCTCAGGTGTGGCCTGATAATTTGCATTTCTTATTTATTGTTTTAAAATTTTTATTGGCCTAGAATTTGCATTTCTAATAAGCTTCCAGGTGAAGCTGATATTTTAGGCAAAATACTTTGACATCCTTTAGCCTAAGTTAATACCTTTTGCGGAAGAAACCAAGACCGACGGGTTTTAGCATATTGGCAAAAGTTATTCGCGTTTTAGGGTTAGAAATGTTTGATCTAGCAAAACCATACAGTGAAAAAAGGTGGTAGATCCCCAGTGTTTTATTTTACAATAAAACCTCTGAAGGACTTCTTTTTGTGATCTGCCAAATAAATTCAGAGGTGGAAAGTGACAGGATCACTACTGTGGCAGTGTTAAGCTCTTCAGGTGACTCATTAGTTACAGGTAATGCTAATTGGAAATGTCACTTTTGTGGTTTGTAGCTACTAGCTGTCTCAGGATACATTCTTGGAAAATTTACTTTATTCTAATACTTAATTTTAAGACTTCATAAGCTTTACTTAGTTCAGACTTCACACTTCCCTGATTTGAGTAGCACTATTAGTTCATTGTTAATGATTCAAGCAATCAAGGTTATAAGGTAAACTTGAAATTGTTTATTGAGCCCTTGCTATGTGCTTCACATTGCCAAGTGCTTTTTACATACACAGTATCTTTTTTAATCCTAAAAATGACCCCAGAAGTTAGGTGCTGAATAGGTGAAGTAAACTGAGGCTTAGGTCAAAGAATTTGCCTAATCTCACATAGCTAATAGGCTATAAAGCTGGGGGTTGAATCCACATAGTCTCACCGTGGAACCGGTCATTCTTAACCATTATACTAAGTGGTCTCTGAGTAATTTAAAATTACTCTTTAAAAGACTTTCATGAGGCACTTTTGTCTATCTAATGGAAGGTTTTTGTTTTGTTTGTGTGGGGTCTTTTTGGTTTGTTTTTTAATGTTAGGTGCATAAAGAGACAATAGATGCAGTACCAAATGCAATACCTGGGAGAACAGACATAGAGTTGGAAATATATGGTATGGAAGGTATTCCAGAAAAAGACATGGATGAAAGAAGACGACTTCTTGAACAGAAAACACAAGGTAAATGCTAAGATGTATGCTTTTTCTTGATACAGCTTAACTAGTGAGAGTATTATTACAATATTTTCAAGTATAAATTTAATGGTAGATGTTAGTTCTATTCAGAATTTCAATTTGAGGGTTTTTTTGGGTTTTTTTGTCTTATGTTCGAAGTTAATGTATCTTATTTGTATATGTGGTAGCATTTGGATCATTCCATACATTTTATTATATTTTTACTCATAACTGAATTCCAGGTGGATTTAGCAAGTGTTGAGGCGGTAGCTTGTTTTGATTTATGAAACCACTAATTGTAAATTTTTTTAGTGGTGTATTTGACTTGGGATTTGCAGCCCTCTCCTATCCAAATGATAGAAACTTACTACTATGAAGTCTTTTCTTTTGAAAAGCATTCTGGAGAGGTCAGCCTAGTTTTCATAGTTTACCTTTTGGAGTGGAATAGAAAGCTGTTTTTTAAAAGTATAACTGCTTTAGGAAAATGTTCTTTACCTACCATAGAATAGGGAAAGGATGTTAACCTTTTTGCTTAATACAGATTGAAAAAACATTTAAAGAGTAAAGAGCAGTGTTAACTGAGTTTTTTGGGAAGAAAAATCTCAGGAGCTACTTGCACTGAAATAAAAATTTTAAATGTTGAATGTCTTAAACTTGCTTAGGTTTTCTTTTTTTACTCTATGGGAAAAATTAATTTAAACTTTTTTAGCAGAGAGTCAAAAAAAGAAGCAACAAGAGGATTCTGATGAATATGATGATGATGACTCTGCAGCTTCAACTTCATTTCAACCACAGCCTGTTCAACCTCAACAAGGTTATATCCCCCCAATGGCACAACCAGGACTACCACCAGTTCCAGGAGCACCAGGAATGCCTCCAGGTAGCACATAAGGCTTCTTACAATTTAACATTCTCAGGTCTTTGTTGATACAGTTTAGAAGTATTAATTTTTTCCTCTTAACCCTTTTTTATTTTTTTGGTTGAAATACTTGTTTGTAGGCATACCTCCATTAATGCCAGGTGTTCCTCCTCTGATGCCAGGAATGCCACCAGTTATGCCAGGAATGCCACCTGGGTAAGAAAACTCTTTTAAGTGACTTGTGGGCTTGTGCCTAGAATGATCTTTTTCAACTTGGGTGTGTTACATCACTTAAATGTTACTTTGCTGTGTTGTTTTTTTTTTTTTCTTTTTGCTTCTAAAAGGTATGGGCTCTGTAACTATTAAACTTACCTAATAAAGGGATCTACTAATAAATTTAAGGAATATAAATTTGACTCTGAAGAGAATAGATTTTTGGGTTTTAGGATGTATGTAGGCAGCCATCTGCTTCAGTTGCATCTGATGTAATTAAAGTAGTTGGTTGTAGATTTGAGTTTCTGAGATTCAAAACTGTCCATGACACTTTGTAGTTGTGAGAAGCAAACTGTAAATATTTGTCAAGTCATCAAGAACTAAAATGAATATGAGGTGCTCGTGCCCATCACTTTTATTTAAATATTGTTGGATGTGAGAGGTATACAATACACTTTCCCACTGTATTTTGAAAATCAGTTAGATTTTGATTTTGTCATACATTTTCACAGATTGCATCATCAGAGAAAATACACCCAGTCATTTTGCGGTGAAAACATGTAAGCATCTCATTCGTAATGTAATTCAGGAGGTATAATCATAATGTCATTTTTTTGTGTGTTTAATGGTATCTATTAAGTTGACTTCAGAAGTTTTCTAATCTTCCTTACTAAAACTTCTAAACTTTGCAAACTGATTGACACAGATCTCTTAAAGGAGGGAACTAAAACATCTGTGAGGAAATCGTAATAGACTCATATAAACAAAGCATTTTCTAATTGTGCAGCTGTTTTCCCCAAACTGCTAAAAGTAAGGGGACTTAGTAAAAAGGGGTGATATTTAAGAAAGAGTATATATTCCTTTGCCAAATTACGTGCTGTGTTACTATAGAAGGTAATTGATTTTTCTTCTAATAAAACCTATATATAGAAGTTATTCTGATAAGAATCCTAAATCATTAATTCACAAACTTGGTAATTTTTTAAGTGAATTGGACACTGATATTTGAAGGTGAGCTCTTTTAAGGAAAGGAAAACAAATATGGGTTGTGTTTTTAAGTCCTGGTTTAGTGATAGCAACTTTGTACATGAGGAGTAGGGATTCTGAGTTTACTTTTGATTATCCTTAATTTTGATGGTAGTTTTTCCGTGCCTGTCCAAAACAAATCTTTACTCCACAGAGTACATTCAGTATTTTCTTTTTGAAAAAATCTGATAACTCTAAAATATAGAGGGTTTTTTTTTTGATTAATATTCTGTGGATATTTTCCAAGTGAGACAAAAGGTGATTTTGTTTTCCAGTTAACGCACATTTTGGATAAGGCCTCTTGTTTATATTAAGGAGAGTATAATAATTGTTTTCAATGACTTTAAATGTATTAAAATGTTCTGTTAACAAAGACTGAATTTTTTCCCCTATTTTACTGGTAAACCAAAGAGTTCGCTGGGTTTTAGGGAATTTATTTTGATAGAATTGTTTTAGTGTGTTGTGTGTTCTTTCAGCTTGATTGATTTCAATATTAGGGGTCAAATTCAAGTCTTATCTATTGTTGTTTCAGGCTTTAGCCAAAATATTTTCTAATGTTTTATACTGTTAATTAACTTTAGTTGTCTCTTGAAATTTGCTTTCTGATAGAATGATGCCAATGGGTGGAATGATGCCACCTGGACCGGGAATACCACCTCTGATGCCTGGTATGCCACCAGGTATGAAATGTTAGACAGTTCCCTTTTTAATATGACAGAAGTGCTTTATTCTTAAAGTATTTTAGACACCAGATTTGTGGGCATTGGTGCAGGGTTTTTTTGTTTGTTTTTTGCGGTACGCGGGCCTCTCACTATTGTGGCCTCTCCCGTTGCGGAGCACAGGCTCCAGACACGCAGGCTTAGCAGCCATGGCTCACGGGCCCCGCCGCTCCGCAGCAGGTGGGATCTTCCCAGACCGGGGCACAAACCTGTGTCCCCTGCATCGGCAGGCGGACTCTAAACCACTGCGAGGTGCAGTTTTAAAATTGGTGTAATTTTTAAAGTTTCTATAGGTTAGTGACTTCTTTTTAAAATTACTGTGAGAAATGTGATGATCTCGTTTTGTTCTGAGTTCCGAGTTTTGAAATAGATAGTAAAAGTAGTCCTCAAAGCCACCAGAATGAGTCACTGAGCCTGTGACTTAAGAGTGGTTATATCTGTTAGGAATATTTTAGGCAAGTACTGGAGACTCTTAACAAGTAATAGAGAAATCCAACAAACTATTAAACAATGTAGGTATTTATTATCTCACTCAACCTAAAAGTGGTAGACTCAGTGGCTCCAGTGATAACAAGAACCCATACTTCAAAAATTTTCCACTTTGCCAACCTTAGCTTTCTCAGACATGTAACTCAGAAGTTATAAAATCTCAGGCAAGAAAGGGTGCTTTCCTTTTTCTTGTATTAGGGAACAAAGTAACTTTCCCAGAATCTCCTTAGCCTCTTACATATCATTGGCCAGAAATAGGTCTAATGGAGCTTCTAGGTGCAGGGAAGCATGGGAAATAAAGTATCTTGACTTTTTAGCCTACAGTGTGGGGAAAGGGATTTGGTTAGCCCAGTAAATGTGCCACAGAGGTCTTCATGAGGCTTTCTGAGTCCATTGCCTAGCGTTTTAATCCTAGCAAGTTTGGTTTGCAGTCCATAGCAGATTCAGATGTACTCAAGTGATAGTTGGTTTAAAAGGAACAGAAAAATAAAGCAGCAGCAAAATTTGAATCATGCCAGTGCAGTCATTAATTTATAGGCAACAGCTTCACATACATCATGCTCTGAGATAATTTTAGGCATTTAAATGAATACAGAAAAATAACCTATGTTCATTTGGTAATGTGAAGTCGGTAAAAGTTTTAAGTTACGTTGAGGAACTTCAAAGAATGCCTAGTGGTATATTTTAGGAAAATTTGTGTATTTAAAGCACACTTAAAGGAATAACTTAGTTTCTGGAATAATTTTTATGGGTATTTGACCTATTAACAGTTTTTACTGTAGTTCGCATTAGAGTTCTGGAAACATCTGTCGTTAGATGATTGAAATAATTCTATATGTTTCAAAAATTTGCTGCATCAGTAATATCAATAAGCCTAATTGTGGCTTTGCCCATATACAGGGTTTCTAGTGGTATCTTTCATGTCCCAAAATTCTGAAGAGACGCAAAGGTGTAGAAAGTTGGAGGCAAAACTGTTCCAAGGGGGCAGGTGCCCAAGTACTTTGGGCTTCATTGAGTTCAGCAGTCAGTCATCAGTATTGATAACTTCGTAGTATAGAATCTTGTTTTATGTGTGTCTGTGCCGCACGGCTTGTGAGATCTTGGTTCCCTTACCAGGGATTGATCCCGGGCCATAGCAGTGAAAGCCGAGTCCTAACCACTGGACTGCCAGGGAATTTCCTTGATTCATTTTTAATTTAATTTAGTATGTTTTAATGGCAAAGTTTTGAGGAAGTATTTTTTCTGAACTAAATGTTTCAGCAACAGGGTCCCACTCCAGTATTTCTTCTCTGCAGGTATGCCCCCTCCTGTTCCACGTCCTGGAATTCCTCCAATGACTCAAGCACAGGCTGTTTCAGCGCCAGGTATTCTTAACAGACCACCTGCACCAACAGCAACAGTTCCAGCTCCACAGCCTCCAGTTACTAAGCCTCTTTTCCCCAGTGCAGGACAGGTAAGGTGAAATTTCTGAAAAGGAGCGTGCTTATGTTTAAAGGTAAAGTGGAGTTCACTGAACTCTTTGAAAATGTCAAGTCATTTTAAAAATTGTAATCTTCTTAATACAGTTTATTAACTATACTGAAGAAGTGGTGTTCTCTTCCATTTTTGCACACATTGATTTCCTTTACTCATAAAAGGTTGACTGGAACCAGAAAATAGTGTAGTATGTTATTTTTTTGTAGTTGTGAACTCTGGTTATTCTTAGCTTTAGTTAGAAATGAAAATTTAATTTCTGGGAACTTAAATACATAAAAATGTTATGAGGTCCTCCTTTACCTAATGAGCTATGAGTAGAATGAAAACCAAAGTCAAAAAATCCTAAGACCTTAGCAAATAATTTTGGGGCTCTTCCTTTAGTCTAGAATTGTGACAGACAGTAGTGCCTCACTGTTGCTGGAAGGGCATCATTTAACGTCTTTTGACCTAGTCACACTCATATTTCCTACTCGTCCTATTTTTTTTTTCCTCCCCAGAACTCAGAAGCAAAAAATCCTTCTTTTATATATAGTATGTATATAATGGTTGTCATCTTCGCTTTTTCCCCCCAGTTTGATTCCGAGTTAAGCAGATGTATTTAATTCATTCAGAATTGAGACACTCAGGATGTATGTTCTTCATTGTTCACCTTAAAATTATCCCTTAGATGTTTTCTTTTTTCAATTTTTTTTCTGTTTGTAGTTGCTAAATTAAAAGCATTACTTTTAAAGTACATTAACATGTTTTTGAGGTGGGGGGATTTTGTTTATTGTTTAGTTTGTTTATCCTATTAATAAACTCTTGGCAAAAATTGTAGTTATCGATGGAGAATTGGATTGAAGTGTCAGTAATGCATCATAATTCTCAGTTTAAGGTTTCAGTTTTGAAATATCATAGTGTAAAACGTTAGTTTTAGGGGAAAAAACCTGTGGTTAATTAGGTTTATTGGTGTAGAATTTAAAACGTTTTTTTGAGGCTCATAGTGTCACTCTGTTTATTGTAAATGCATTAACTGCCTGCCTCTATAAAACAGATTTGATTGCATTGTATTTTGCATTTAGAAAAATGCAATCTATACTGAAAAAAAAGTCTACCACGTGGCTTATTTTCACCCATTTGTTTGGAGACTTTTCATTGTTTCCTTTCTTTTATGCTACAGATGGGGACACCTGTAACAAGCTCAAGTACAGCTTCATCCAATTCAGAAAGTCTGTCTGCGTCTTCTAAAGCTCTGTTTCCTAGCGCAGCACAAGTACGCAGGAAGTTGCAGTTTAAAATTGTTAAAAATGGCTTTATAACTTCATTAACCCTTTGGACCCTACTTTAAAACTAAATCTTTTCCCAAAAATACGTTTAATTTTTCTAAAGTAAAATTAATGGCTTATAAATCAATGGTATTTGAAAATTTGAACCGCATACTAATACAAAAAAATATACCCCAAACTTCTATGGTTCTAAAGGGTTAAAAGCATGTAAGCAGTAAATGCATTTTAGTGGCCAATGGTTAGCCTGATGCATGATTAAGCTATTCTGTTTTATGCTGTTTAATGCATCACATATAATATAAGGAAATTTAGTACTCTGCATTTGATTCTAAAAGTTGGCCTAGTTTACATGTTTCAGATGTTCAGTGTTATGAAAAGTAACAAATTTATTGGTAACTTTATACTTAAAAGCTTACTAAACCCTTTAGTCCATCATAATAATCTAGCCATTGTTATTTGGGAGGGCATTGTATTACTATATAAAGAATACTTCTGAAGGACATATCTTTAATGTGTCACCATTGGTAGTTATTTATGTTATACTTAGTAACTGAAATTTATCGAAACATTTGTATTCTATAATTTCTAACTATTTTTTTTTGAGCTCCTTGGTAGATTAATTTTAAAAAGGAATTTAGAATGATGATAATAGAAAATATGCTATTCCATTATATGATAATATCTTCAATTAGGAATAAATACAAAGCTTTGTAAATTAAGTAATTTCTGGTGAGGAGATAGATGATATCTGAGAAGTTACATAAGCAGTCTAACTTGTTTCTTGTTTCCACTGCTGTGGTTTGGATGTACATCTTTTGGTATTATGTGTTATCTTGAATTTTGTGGATTGTTCGTGATTTTAACTTTAAGTTTTGTCCCTTATTGAATGTTAGTGTCTTGTTTTTAAGTTAAATAGGTAGTAGATATATTCACTTTTGGGTTTTGAAGTTTTGATGAAAGATAATGTTTTACAGGCTCAGGCAGCTGTCCAAGGACCTGTTGGTACAGATTTCAAGCCCTTAAATAGTACCCCTGCAACAACTACAGAACCCCCAAAGCCTACATTCCCTGCATATACACAGTCTACAGCTTCAACCACTAGTACAACAAATAGCACTGCAGCTAAACCAGCAGCTTCAATAACAAGTAAGCCTGCTACACTTACGACGACCAGTGCAACCAGTAAGTTGATCCATCCAGATGAGGATATATCGCTGGTAAGTTGTTTACATTTTTTACTAGCAGAGTTTGATTGAGTACTGTGGTAGCAACTTGTCCATTTGAAAAGTTTTAATTTGTATACCAGTGGTCTTATGATCTGATTGAATGCTAAGTGATTTTTATCATTCTGATTTTTAAGAACCACAAAACAAAGTGAATATTGCATGTTTTGATCTTAGATACATCCCCCCTAAGACTGTTTCTAAAAGAAGACAGTAAGTTGGGTTCTTACTCTCTCAAAAATTATTTTTGTTCATAAATTTAATTAATTGAAGAAACAAGTGTGAGATAGAGTCTGCAGGTCCCTTGCAGTCCATATACCTTCTTCATTACACAGTTTCTTGCTGAAGCAATTTATAATTTCTGGAAAGTTGTTCAATATAACGTGCTTCAAATATAAAAATAAGTAACGTTTTCTTAAGGCATCAAGATTTTAAGTTGGACTGGTTTGTGGGGTGAAAGTAATTGGGATGTAAGGGAACATTTAAAAATTAGTCTCACTCTATAAATATAAAGACTTTAGATGCTTACCTTCGTGCTTAACTCCCTGTGTTCAGATGTTCACATTTCACATATTTTTATTCCTAGGAAGAGAGAAGAGCACAGTTACCTAAATATCAACGTAATCTTCCTCGACCAGGACAGGCTCCCATTGGTAATCCACCTGTTGGACCAATTGGAGGTATGATGCCACCACAGCCAGGCATCCCACAGCAACAAGGAATGAGACCCCCGATGCCGCCTCATGGTATTCCTCTTTTTACATTTATTTTATTTAGTGGATTTTCTGAGTGTACACATGAAACAGATTTATCTGCAAAATGCATTGCATTTAAAAGTACAAGGCACAGACTCAATCTATTTTTTTGTGTTTTAAATGTGTTTTTTAGGTCAGTATGGTGGTCATCATCAAGGCATGCCAGGTTATCTTCCTGGTGCTATGCCGCCGTATGGGCAGGGACCGCCAATGGTGCCCCCTTACCAAGGTGGGCCTCCTCGACCTCCGATGGGAATGAGACCTCCTGTAATGTCGCAAGGTGGCCGTTACTGATCTTACTTCATCCAGTCTAATAGGTTTGGAGATTAAACCTTTTCTCAACTTGTGCTGTTTATATAGCCAAGCTTCCGTCAATAAGGCTTCATTGTGACTTTAACAAACATTATCTTCCCACATACCAGGAACTATTGGACATTTATTTTACATGGGAAAATTTATTTGGAATAATAAAGCAGGAACTTTTCCTGAAGTTGCAATTTATACTGTATGGCTTCTTTTTCATGTTTCATCTAGGTTTTTAGAAGTGAAGTATAGTAAATTTGGTTCGTTATATTGTGAAGGCGCTGGAATTACATGAACATACCACCCTAATAAAGGCAAGTTCTGTAAGCTTATGTTGCTATTTGTAAAGTTATGCCTTCACAGCATTTCAGATGCTGTTGGACTTCATGTCCCCAACCTAGCTTGGTGAGGGCTGTAACTGTCTTCAAGTACCTGTACATTGGAAGTCTGAATGTGTAACAATATTTAATGTATTTAGAGTTCCTCATGTTTCAGGGTTTAAGAAATCTGACCCACCAAGGTCATGTGACTTTTCTGTACTGTTAAACTTCATTGTAATAAAATGAGAGAAAAATTTATGCCTTTTTATTCATAACCCAGCTGTGGACCACTGCCTGAAAGGTTTGTACAGATGCATGCCACAGTAGATGTCCACATAATAAAATTCGTAGTTATACCAATGCAGTTTTGATATATCATTGGATTCTGTCTTTGAATTGTAGGTTGTTCCTTAGCTGCATGTTTTAAACTGGACAGTATATGTAGAATTGTATGTTAGTCCTTCAGTTGACAGAAAAACTTAGATATACCTATGAGTCATTACATGGGTATGAAATCTTTGTATTGTGTCACCTTTCCACCCCCTTGGTGTGTCAATATATGTTAGCTATCATAGATATTTGAAATGTAAACCTTAATATTCCCTCCTTCCTGCTGATGTTTAGAGCCTAGTGCCAGACCCATTCATTTCCTTCTGATTATTTTTGAGACTGCGGTACTGTGTGGACCTCAGAAGCTTTTCAGGTGCAAACTTCTAGAAGCTTAGGTGCATGCAGTAATAGCCTTCTGTACTGTTAATGACTGGTATATATTCTAATGTTATGATGAGAATCTAAATGTGCCTCTGTTAAGATGGTTAACAGATGGATTTGAAATTTTTTATTTTATTATGTTCCTGGAAGATTACATTATTTCTTTGATTAAATGGCTACCTTCTGTTATTATTAAGCCTAAATGGCTTTTTACTGTTAACCTTTTCATCCTTGGAAATTTGAATGTTCAAATGTGTTCTATGGAGAACTTTTCTGTAGAGATGACTGCTATTATTCAGTATCTTACGTTGCAAGTCCCATATATTAATAGCCTTGTTGACCTCTTTTTGGCATCTATTTTTTTGATCTTCATTTTTGCAGAGTACTTTTATGACTAAGTATCAAATGACCTGTACAAAGTATAATTATTAATATATTATGAACTCAGGTTTAGTTTTCCTCAATATAAAGTTAAGACAGCTAAGAAAATAACATTTCTTTATAACCTTTATGTGAAGGTGTAGGTATAAGGCACAGAATCTGAAGTTTTGTTTAAACAAAAGAAAGCTTTAACCATATAAGAAAATACTGAAAGATGTTTTAATTATCATAAAAGAGTGTATATAAGTGACAAGTAAAAGTCATTCATCTTAAACAAAACATTGTAAGTATTAACAAAGCTGAGTGTTATTTTAAATCTGCTATTCTGCTCCAGTGGTTTTACAGCTTCTATGCTATTTTTGAGGGTCAAAAAATTTCATAGTTTGAAAAGGCAACGTGCATGTATTGCCAAGAATGCATTTCTTCCTGCTGCCAGCAGCCATGTCTCTACCCCTTTCTCACCAAACGCCTGTCTACGTAAATAGTTTTGAAATTATCATATATTTCTTAGATTTGGCAGCATGTTTATCATACTGCCAAAGAAAGACCTGTGTTGAAAATCTTTTAAGGTAAAAATGGCATAATTAAATTTAGAATTATTAAATAGGAAATATTCTCCCAAACCAAATGTCTCTCAAGCATTTCACGTACAGGCTTATCAACAAACTACGAATGGATTATAGCAGTGGGGGAGAGGAATCAGGAAGAGGGGAAAAAATGGGTTAGTAATGTTTCAAAAATTATGCAAAGCTTGATTTGCGTTTGATGCAAAGAGAACTGATATATTGAGGTTTGTTGCTTTCTGAGGTCAGAAAGGAGAAAATATTGCCACTTTTAAAGAAGTGATAGAATTCTAATTAAAAGTTAATTCAAAATGTTATGCACAACACTTAGGCACATCATTCGTCTGTTGTATTTTGTAGGTATATGGCTCAGATGGTGCCCATTTGGTATATTTAATGTGTAATTTGTGCATGCATCAGAGTGTAATTAAGCTTCTAGAAAATACCTTTTACCTAATTGCTTCTGGGGTCCATAATGTGGTTAAATCACGAGTGGAACAAATTATGTTGAAATAGTTAACTCTGACTTACGCTTTCTTAAAGAATAGATGGAGTTGAGTTGAAATAAACTTCATCTGCCCTCACAGAAGACAGCTTTGGGACTTGGTATATACCGGCAGGCATTGTGATTGCCATAATTTAGGAAGTTGTAAGATTAATGGGGCTGCCAGTTTTGGCTCTACCTTACATCCACTGTTACCACTTTCTTTAAAAAAACAAAAACGATTTTTGTCTGGCACTAGTTTCTATTGTGTGTATGACAGTAACAAGACCAGCAGGTGAGGATCAACTTTTGAGTGGCTGCTGGATATCATTTGATTTGAATACTATTTTAGCAATCTTTCACACTTTTACTGTTAGGAATGGGGTAAATATTCTTTGAGCACTCCTGTTCCACTGATCAAGTCACATACTGAACTTAAACTCAGTTTAATTAAATTTAATTATTTGCAGAGGGGGGCGAGATTCCCAGTAAAAGTATGGGCTCAGAGTGGAATTATAGGACAATAGATTTTTTTTTTTTTTAAAGAGCTACTCTTTTTTCCTTTGCTTGCTTGATCATTGGGATTTTTTTAAATGCATGTCTTTTAAATTAATTGGGTAATGTTTTTCTAAAATTAAAATTTTCTTCTTCCTATAGCCCTGCCATAGGACAGGCTGAGGCTGAGTCTCAGTGTTGCCCTGTTCAGTCTGAGGCAAGTGGGATTTATTTTATTCCTTATAGGGGCTTTCACAGCTTTATGGCTGTTGGATATTCATGTCCCCAAACTTGCAGCAAGTTTGGTGAAGGCCCCTAAATTTAATTAAATTTAGGATTTTTATACTCTTTTGGCAGAGAAGGCTCTATATTAATATTCACGTTTGACTGTGGTGTTAATAAACAGAAAGTATTTGACATGTAACTTTATGTAATTTACTTTGTGTTACGTAATATTTAACAGCCTCAGTAAAGGTGATGTTATTTATATTGAACTTGAGTAAATTGACAAAATTTGACGTTCTTGATTTGGAGGCATGAAATGTTTCATTCAAATTTTCCCTTTCACTTTTAGGAAAATCTTACTGGTTATTTTCTCCTCAAACTATTAAATTTAACCTCAAGGATAATAATCATTGGAAATGCCACTGGATACTGAAATCTGCATTTTTAATCCCAAAGTTATGCATTGAACGTTAAGGTTGAAAGGTCATCTGGAAATGCTTGTGACTTTTAATATTTCCAAATTTCACCACATTAGAGCAAATGTTAATGTAGAGCCCTGTGAAAAGTGGGAAGATGGTGTGTATGTGTGGTATGTATGCGTATACACTACACATTTGATATAATAAAAGAGTTTGGGTATTACACACTTATCAGTATGGATGGATTACAAATTTTCAGGCAGCCAAACTGAAATTGTTTCACATAGTAAAGTTTAGTATATTGAATTGTGGTTTTGGAACGATTATTTTGAGTTTCATTTTTAGCCTTACTGAACAATAATTTGATGCAATATGCACACATGAAAAACACCCGTGTTTGTTTCCAACTAAAAATTGTTTTTATTCGGTGGAAAAAGTTGTGTTTATGTGTGTATGTTGTAGTGGGCAAGTAACAGGGGAACTGAAAGAGAGGCCAAAACATTAACTTGGATTACTTTTGTTCCTTCCCGTGTTAAAGCCACTGTTCTATGCAGATAGCATTTTCCTCTGAACAGTAACAGTTCACTTATAGTACAATGTTTAGCAAACCCAGGCTTGTGTTTCTATGTGGTTTTAATTCTTGGAAACAAAGAAGAAAAACGAATTAAATGAATTCCAAATTTTCACCTCTGTAATTGGAATATAAGCTTTTCTCTGTAACTGAATCATGGAAAAAAGATAATTAACATTTGAGAAAAGAATTGTGTCACAACAAAAAAATTCCACTGGAATATTTTACTACCTGCTCAATAACTGCATCTTTTAAGACTCCTCAGTTGGAGTTGTTTTCTGTTGCATCCATCATTCCCCAATATACTGAAATATTCAAGAGTGAAGTTGCTTGTCCTAATTCTAATAGTGATCATTGAAATAATTATAATTGAAATACCCTCTTAAATGCTTGAGTACTGGGGTGGGAGGGATTTTCTAAGGGAGACATAATTTGTTGAAGGTGATACAGATATCTAAGATGTAGGTTCTTCGATCTTTGTAGTCCTCTGACTCAGACAAATACAGTTTTGAGAATAACTTTCAGGTATCTATTATATCCACAGGTAAAACTTGGTAAATTACTGAAAGGAAATGTTGAAGTCACTTCTTTACTGAGATGAAATTTTGTTTAAGTAAACTGACACTTGTATCGGTTAGGGGATTTTTTAAAAAGTAGTAAACATGTTCCCTAAAATTTTGTGTAAATCAAGTATGTCTTTTTTTAAAGGTGGTATTTATCTACCTTATTGAATAACCTTTGTATGTTATTCCAAAATGAAACTGGTTTTCTTACTCTTTTATGGAAGTCTTCTAAAAGAAGAGATTCATTATAAGACTATTGACTATAAGGCAGAGTTTTGTAAGTAAACATTCTCCCATTTATACTTCTGCTATCTCATGATTTGAATATTAGTATAGGTTATTCCTTTTTAGCCTTCTTTCTCAGTATTTTGTTTTCTGTCATCTGAATCATTTTAATAAATGATCTTTTGTTTTAGTAGCATAGCAATCATCTGATATTTCTTGGCAAAATAAGCAGCTACTTTAATGATGTTATATATAGTGTCATGCACATAGTGGATATTCACAATTTTGTAATTAATGTTGTATTTTGAGAACTATACTTTTAATATCTTGGCTCTTAGGCATTCCCTGTTATGAATCTAATTCAAACTAATACATAGCAAATGGGGAAAGCAGGACCTCAGTTTGAGCTCCCTAATACTTTAAACATCTCCAACATTTCCAAGTGTTTTCATGTTCTTTTTTTTTGTTTGTTTGTTTTTGTTTTCATGTTCTTACTTGGCATTTTTGTAGGAAAATAAGCTTGAAAGTATCATGTTTTAAAAAACTAGATTTCTTCAGTAAGGCTCAGAGGAGAATTGTTTTTTATAAGCATTGTTTTTCTTGCTGTGGACTTCATACATTTTTGCATAATAATTTGGCCATAAAAGAAAGAGCTTTTCATTTTCTTCCCAACTCTGGAAAAATAATAGCTTGAAACTGTATTAGTTTGAAATTTTTGAACCATCTCTCTTTAAATCTATTCAACTAATCTCATGTATATTCTCAGGGGAAATTACATTTTACAAGTCAGGATATAGAAATCATATTAAGGCAGAAATTGGAGACCCAAAGGAGATCTTCACTGAAGCTAATTTGAACTATTTCTATTTGAAGCAAATTGAACACTGTATTATAAATGAAGACTGGTTCATGGTTAGGTTCTTTAGGAGGCAAATAATCACCAGCTTTATCATGAGAATATGTTTGTGTATATGTTGTAATTTCGGGCACATTAACTTACAGAGAAGGTACATGTGAGTAAACTGTTTTAACAATTGATTAGTTGGACCCCAGCCATTAATTCCAAATGCTGTAATGGTATGTAAGGTTGTGATATGGCACAGTTTCAGTAATGTGCTGTGTGTTTAGTCAGGGGTTTGTGTAATGCTTTGTTTGTAAAAAAAGGGGAAGTCCTTTATTGGAATTCTCCGGGCCTTTTGGCATTCTTACTGTGTCTGGGTTTTTTTTTTTTATCATTATTATAGTTAAGAATCATATGCCTTTGTTTTTGTTTAAATGTGAGGAACTGGCAGTGAAGTTCATTGATGCCCAACTTGGATAAAAATGAAGAATGTTGTTTGCCCAGCTTACTACACACAAACCAGTAGTGATTATTTGGGTGAGAGGCCATTGTACAGTATCGTTAGACTTTTAAGAACCTTAAATGTAATGAAAGGTAATAGTATTTTGGCCTTGGTTTACATTTGTTATGCAAGATTTCATCAAATCATTTATTATAATGTAGCTCATTCTTAATATTTTTATTTATAAATAATTTGGCAATCAGATGAAAATAAACAAGGCTTACCACGTCATTTTCCAGTTTCTACTAATAAAACAAGTCTGCCTAACTACCCAAGTGGACCAAGGGAAGCGTTATTAAAGTTTCTGTAAATTTGAGTTAGAAAAATATGGGAGATTTAGTTACTGAGCATAGCCTGCCTTTTAGCTATTAGCTTGTTAGTGTACTTCTAGGAGAAGCAATAGAGTGTGCTTTTCAGCCCATGTGTTTAAAATGGAAAATCTTTAATATACAGAAATGAAGTCAAGTATTTTAGAAGTTGAATTTAAAATATTAAAAATTGCTTGTTTCTGTGGGATGTGTCTACATGTACTTAAATTAGAAATTATCACGCAGAGATTTTTATTCCTAGATATATGTACCCCCTCTCCTTTTAGAGTAACCCATATCTTTATAGTACACATACTGGAATATATAATTTATTAAAATTGAGAGGTGTCCAAGAGATATACAGTATTACTAACTCATTCTCATAAGGTCACTCTAAATTTAATAGCCAATATAAGGTACTTTTTGTAAGACAGGGAAATTTTTTTTAATGTAATAATGTCAGGCTCTGAGGAAATTTTATGCACATTGACTTTTTAAACTATGAATTGAACTCCTCAGTTTAATACAATTTGTGTTTTTGTTAACTAGCAGCAGAATTTCAGCATTTGCTACTTACTGGTAGAGAAGAAAAATCCCACAGCCCTGCCAGTACAGGTTAGTTTAATCTGTAAGTACCTGATGTTCCTATTTTTTTCAAACATACCCATATAACCCACACCAGGAAGAAAGCTGTGCAGTTACTTAAATGTGAGTATGACACTGGACACTTCTAAACACTCAGTACTTGGGCCAAAGTAGCTCTAGGTTTGCTCACCTGAGTTGTAATAAAGGTGTAATACTGCTCCTTTATTATCGGGTTACGGTTAAACCTAAATAGATATGTTGTACATAGAAGGAAGACTGAAAGTTTTAATTGGCTATATGCTCATGTTGGTATATGGAGTACAGGGGTTTGGGTCCAGGGTCTCCTACTTAAGCCGCTCCTTGGTACTCATACTTACCTTTTAACTTTTTACAGTATGAATCAACAGATAAAAAGTCAAGTTTCCTCACCTCTAGTAGTGATAAATGGTGTGCAGTCGTATGCCAGAATATATTTTTATGTTGCTTTTTTGTTCTTAGATATTTTTAGTAACTCTTGTTGTAAGTACTAATTTTGTTCATCCTTTTTGTAAACTATAACCTGTTGGTGCACCACCACTGTGGGTTCATTTTAATTTGAACTAAGAAGAACCTTTTTAATATTCAGATGAAAGCTGACTACCCATCAAGAAATCTAGACACATTCTTTGTATATTCCTTTTGAGGAGCAGTGAGGACATAACAGGTTATGAAAGTTATGTTAAAGTTTTTATTAGTTTCATTGGTTCTACCAGCGTTCATTGTTGTCTTGAACCATCCTTCAGAGATTTCCTTTAACCTTTAAATATTGTGCTCTTATGTTGATAAAAATTTTAAATACTGAGGAGAGAAGAAGAAAGTATACAATTTAGTTTATACAAGCCTACCTGAACCATTCTGCTATTCTGTATGGCTTCCTCTTCACCTTAAGTGTAATATTGTATAATGTGAGTCTGTCCGTACAACTACTGATTTTTTTACTCCTGTTAAACTGGGATGGTGATAAAGACCTTGATTTATCAACTTATAAAATATATTTTATAAGATATCCACTTGTTTTTTTAACATATAAAATTGCCTAAGGGCTTAAGTTTCATTGCCTTTCACAGTTTAATCTGTATAAGAAATGGCGTAGATACAGTGGAAATGGTTTTCCTTAAAACCATCTCTTTAAAGCTGCTTTTCTGGTGAGTACTATTTTATACTTTTATGTATCACTATTTTTCCATTTAAATTTAACTTAAGTTGGACACTTTGATCAAAGTGTATGAGTTTCTACACTCTTATTACCTGAATTGAGAATGTTAAGAAGGTGATTATTTTACCTCCTGATGTTTCTCTAATAATTGGGGCTCACTTTTTTCCTGACCTTCACTTAATAGACTATATAACTACAAAAACTTTAACGTGTAAATGATTTCTTTTTGGTGAGATAGGAAAGATGTTTTTACTCAAAACTAGTGTTAAAAAATTTTTTATTTTAACTTAAAAATTTTTTTAGTTGACAAGCAAAAGTGTTTTTTTTCCTCAATGCTTTTGGTTGCCATGTTGCGTAGGTTTAAAATTTAAAGACCAGAATTTTTGTCCAGTGATTCTTGAGTAGTTAAGCTGGGAATAGAGTTGAAGGAAAGCTTGCCCAAAATGGTCATGCAGACTAATTGCTTACAGGAGTCTCTGAGTGAGGCTTGAGAATTTCAAATGTATTCTTAAATCATTCTAACCTTGCATGAAAAACTTGGGTTGGACTACTGATTTCTGGGATTGTGTATACCCGTGAAAATTAGCCTGAGCATATTTGTAATTACTTGATCCCCTGTTAAATCCCTCCGTCATTGTAACACATGGATTTTTTTCTCTAGCTTTTAGCCACATCCTACCTAACATCAGTTTATCTAAGGATGTTTTCACATTGTATTTCCTGCTGTGAACTTTGTAAGCCAATAATAAAAAGTCAGCTCATGCTTTTTAGTATGAACAGTGATAGTCTTCTAAAATAAATCTGAAAATTTGAATATGTGATAATGGTAATGTATTCTTCTAGATAAGCACTACACAAAGTGTGGACCCTCAATTTATGTCTTTAAGATTTAAAGTGAAGTAAATTTCTAAGGAACTCTGTCCTTTCCTAGCAAGGATAAGCAGACACTGAAAATTTGGTAAGTATGTAACTAAATGCATGTAATAGTGATGAGAATAAGTAGCCAAATTTCCACAGTTTAAGCTAATATTTAGATGTGAACAGGAATTCTTAAATCTTCTTTGCGACTTAATGTGTCTAGAATTTTTACAAATTTGTGTGCACACTGATTAAATTGAAATGTACCTTACTCCTTTGTCTGCATTGTTTTCTTTTTATTTTGTATGGTGTTTTACTAATTTCATATTTCAGGGTTTTTTCAGGGTAGAAATAAGTGGCGGGTAAAGAAAATATCTTCAAGAAGAATTATTTAAACCTCCCTATCTTAAAACTCAGTGATGACTTTCAGTTTATGTAGGCCTTCTGTTTTTCAGCTCCAGTTAAAGCTGACAATAGACAACTGATCAAAAATGGGAAAGAAATCTTTGTGCTCTTCCTGGAGTATTGTAGGAATCATCGTATAATAATATTAAGCCAATGCTGGATTTTCATGGAAGGAGTGGTTTTTAAATAAGAGAAAAAGGTGGTGAGATTTTGGAATCTCTCCTCCCTGGAACTGCATTACTATTAAGAAGAAGAATAAATAGAGGTTAAAGTGAAAACATTGAATTACTACAGCAGGGAAGGTGATTTATATCTGAGCGGTATGTCTACAGTTTTCTAAACTGGTATAGCATTATTTTGTGAAGTGGTACAAGATCTTAAAGGGTTGGGACCCGGGTTGGGGTGTTGGGGGTGGGTGGCTTCCCTCCATTCAGTCTCCAGGTTTCACTCCAGCATTGGAGGGAACTGAAGAGCAAGTCATACAAGGGGTATGATACGATGGTAAGGAGGACCTGAACAAAACAAACAAGGGAGGATAAATGCTAGTCCATGTGTATGATTAAATGGTCTAGCTAAACAAAAAGACATTGAATAGTGGCATAACCTTTAGTGTAAGTAAGTGAACTCTCTGATTTAAAGGTTGTAATTAAATCCTTGCTTTAAATTATTACCAACTTTAAAACTCTAGCTGCCCCCCCCCCAAAAAAAAAATCATGGGGGAATTCCCTGGCAGTCCAGTTAGGACTCGGCGCTGTCAATGCCAAATTCCTGGGTTCCATCCCTGGGCAGGAAACTAAGATCCTGCAAGCCCGCAGCTTGGGCCCACTGCACCCCTTCCCCCTCAAAAAAAGGGAAAATACTAGCAATTAATACTTGGAATTTTTTTGGGCAGGGTGTGTTTAAAATTTTTTCTTAACACAAGTAGTAGTGCATTTTGGGTTTTTTTGCGTTACACGGGCCTCTCACTGTTGTGGCCTCTCCTGCTGCGGAGCACAGGCTCAGCGGCCGTGGCTCACGGGCCCAGCCACTCCGCGGCATGTGGGATCTTCCCGGACCGGGGCACGAACTGTGTCCCCTGCATCGGCAGGCGAACTCTCAACCGCTGTGCCACCAGGGAAGCCCAGTAGTGCATTTTGTCACTTTGACATAGCACCTGGAAGCTAGTGCATAAGAAAAATGGATGACCACGTTTATAGTAGTTAACTATATTAAATTTTAGCCTACTGGTAGGGTTTGGATGGAAGAGATGCTCCTAGGTGTTCTTTAGTGTATGCAGCCATGTAATTATTAGAGCTCACAAAAGGCATTGAAGTGTTTATTTTCTTTCTCTTGAAGTCATCTGGGAGTGCTTGCTAGGCTTTAAGAAAGCCAAAACTACCATTTGAGAAATGGTGCTTTATTTTCATATTGGAAGCAATTTTCAGTTTGTGTTTTCTTTTAAAGGTTGAAGGATTTTTGCTTTTGCATTATTAAAAGCAGGCCTCTTTTTGTTCCAAGGTAATGATCGACCATTAATAAACATTTGAGTGCTTGTTCTTAACAAAGATGAGTAAAAATTTTTTTCATTATTTATGATACTTGTCTGAGCCCGTTTTATTAAGTTGTATCCAGAACAAATTCTATTGAGAATGAATTGTAATGATACACATCAGCTGTCCTGAACAGTTTTTGGTATGCCTTGGGAAATAGAATACAAAGTTATTTTTATTAAATATGGAATGTGTATTGGGAGAAAGTAAAGGGTAAATGAGGAGAATTAGACTGTGGGTATGGGGTAATTGTGATTAGGTATTAAGATTGAACAAGCAGATGGAGCCAGGAGTAGCATAGTGGTTTAGACTATAGGCATAAAATTAGACCTTGCAATCAGATCCTGCTCCATCATTTAGTAGTTTTATGACCTTGAACAAGTTAACTTCTCTAAAATGATGGTAATTTTCCTAGACTTGTGAGAAAAAGTTACTGTGTGAAACAACTTAGCCTTGCCTGACGGATCAGTGGAAATGGCAGGGGTAGGGACGGGTAGGCAGTTATTGAAAACCTAAAAATTTCATTTAGTAAATATGAATGCCTATGACATGTTTGGATACTCTCCTGTGTACAGATAGACAGGGAATGCATCTCAAAAGGGACCTTGGAGTTGAGGATTTAAGAAGCCAGCCATTGCAAAAAGTCTTGTTGGGTAACAGTATTACAGGCAGAAGTATGTGCAGAAACTGAGATGGAAAAGCATAGCATCTTGGAGGAACAAAAAATGAAGTATATGAGTGGTGGATTGGGATGGCCTTTGTGCAGCTTGGAAAGGTAGGCCAAATCACAGGTCATGGTTTGAATTTTATTCTAATGGAAGTCATTGAGGACTTTGAGCTGGTGAGTAGTATAAATGATTTTTGAAAGGTCATTCTAAGTTGTTTGAGGGTGGGGGGATTGGTGGGCAGTATAGGGACTAGTTAGAAGGCCAAGAACCTGCTCTAAACAGAACTCAAGAATAACTGATGTTATGAATTAATATGGCTTAGATGATCATTGGAGAAGAAGTTAGATGATGCCAAACCTAAGCACAAAAAAAGTAAAACAGATTTGAAAGTTAAACTTTTAAACATGGTTTAGCCCACACCTGACCGTTCATTTAGGAAATGTTTATTGAAGATCTGGTAAGGCATTGAGAAAGCTTCAGTCTTTTTAGATTTAAGGATAAATGCTAACACAGGAAAGTGAAAATGCCCTCTGAGGAAGTTTGGAGGACGGTAATTCCACCTGCCTTGTGTCGGGAAAAAGAGGCATTTGAACTAGGTCTTGAAGAGTTGTTAGGATTTGGACAAATATGAAAAAGTGTTAAGAGAATGACTGGAAAACCCAACAATAAAAAGAGGTATGTGAGTGAAAGTTGCAAAGAATGAGAAGAAAATTTAAGGTGTGCCTGTAAAGGTCCTTGAATACCACATTAGGGATATACATTTCCTCTAGAAATTGGAGTGCCTTTGATCTTCACTGATGAGAGTTTCGTTTTGGTCTCCACATCTCTTCAGAAGCATCCACAGTCTACCACCAGATCACCAGACACTGTCACCATTTCCTCAGTGCCACTGTTGTCCTGGTGATGTGGAGTAGTAGGATTCAGGAACAGTAATTGGGCCTGACTGCTATTGACTCAGTCAAGTTAAAACTAGAATTCCTCCTGTTCACAAGGGCTAGCTTAAAACGTTTTGGCAACCCTCTGTATCCCACACTTTACTTGGTCACTGTCTTGTAATCCCTCAATTTTTTCTGTCACTTTCTCTCAGTAGTAAGACTGCTCCCCTGCTTCAAAAACCTTTCTGTTAGGCCCAGGTAAATCCTATTTTACATAACTGAACTCTTTATAAAACCTTCCCCAGGGCTTCCGTGGTGGCGCAGTGGTTGAGAGTCCGCCTGCCGATGTAGGGGACACGGGTTCATGCCACGGTCTGGGAAGATCCCATATGCTACAGAGGGCTGGACCCGTGAGCCATGGCCGCTGAGCCTGCGCGTCCGGAGCCTGTGCTCTGCAACAGGAGAGGCCACAGCAGTGAGAGGCCCGTGTACCCCGCCCCCCACACACAAAACCTTCCCCCAAACTGGTTTTCCACAGTCAGTTTCTAATAGTTGGCAGAGTGAGTGTGCTGTTCATCCAGCTTATTTGTACCTGGAGTTTGAAAGGATCAGTGAGCTGCTCATTACCTGAAACAGAACCGTTATTTATAAGCTCATTTGTTCTTTTTGACCTCATGACTTTTATCTCTCTGCTTTAATTTACTGACTCCTGAAAGTTTCTTTTTATTGAAGTCTTTGGCACACTACTTAATGTGATAGGTGCTTAATGTTTTTTTTTTATTTTTTGAGTGAATGATTAATATATTTTGAAGAATATGGGTTGTAGTGACACTAGTGAAGCAATCACACAACTTTGCAAGTTGTCTAATAGGGTATAATCATACACTGTAGATGGATAACATATAACCATTTCAACCTTTGCTGAGCCCATGGTGCTGCAAAGCAATTCTGTGTAAGGGTATAGTCACCTTTTCTGCTTATTTTTTCCATGTGTCTTCAAATCCTTGTCTGCTTCCTTCCCATGCCAGCACACACGGCATACATGTCTCATGGCTTTGCTTCCTAATTCATGAAGGTAATAAAAAGTCAAAGCCTTTAACTTTTAGATACTATATAAAATAAAATAACCTGTATTTACACCCTTTATTGCTTTGGAGTCAGTATCCAGTTCTTCATGGTAACCCCTTTTACTGTGCTCTGGAATTCCACCAACTGCCTTTTTTTTTTCTTTATATTTTAGAGCAGTTCTAGGTTTACAACAAAATTGAGAGGAAGGTTCAGGATTTCTCATATATTTTCTGCCCCCACACATAGCCTCTCTCATTATCAACATCATTTACCAGAATGGTACTTTGTTTTTTAAAAATACTATGGATAAATGTACACTGATACATCATAATTACCCAAAGTCTATAGATCTGTAGTTTACCATAGGGTTCACTAGATGTGCTTTGTATGGGCTTGAATAAAAGTATAATGACATATCCATCATTGTAATATACAGAACGTTTTCACTGCCCTAAACATTCTCTGTGCTCTGCCTATTCATCTCCCCAACTCCCACCCCTAGCAATCACATCTTTTTTTGTTTTCATAGTTTTACCTTTTTCAGAATGTCATACAATTGGAATCATACGGTATATAGCCTCAGATAAGCTGTCAGTAATATGTGTTTAAGGGTCTTCCATGCCTTTATGGTTTGTTAGCTCATTTCTTTTTAGTGTTGAATAATATTCAATTGGATGTACCAGTTTATCCATTTACCTACTGAAGGACGTCTTGGTTGCTTCCAGGTTTTGACAGTTATGAGTAAAGCTGCTGTAAACATCAATGTGTAGGTTTTTGTGTTGACATAAGGTTTCAAATCCTTTGGAATAAATGTGAAGAAATGTAATTGCTGGATTGTATAGTAAAAATTGTTTAGTTTTATAAGAAACTGCCAAACTCTGTCGAAGTGTGCCCTTTTGCATACCCACCAGCAATGTATGCAGGCTTCTCTTGGTCTGCATCCTTGCTAGCATTTGGTGGTGTCAGTGTTCTAGACACTGGCCATTCTAATACGTGTGTAGTTGTATCTTATTTAACTGTGCATTAACTTCATATAACATGTAGCATCTTTTCATATGCATATATCTTCTTTAGTAAGGTTTCCGTTAAGGTCTTTGGCCCATTTTTAAATTGGGTTGGTTCCTTATTGAGTTTTAATAATTTTGTTTTTATATTTTGGGTACAAAGTCCTTTATCAGAT